CATCAGAGAAGGTGCTGTGCTCTATGAGCAAAGCAGAATTGAAATAGTTCAAAAGTAATGCAAGATACGCAAATTTAGAGATCCCACCCCAAATGTTCACATGGACTCTTAGTGCCCAACCGGGTAGAACATTTCAAGCTCATGTTGGTCTGATCAGCCACAGTTGGACACATTGAAATTTGACTCTGGCATAGCAATGTCATTTCAGTCCTCTTCGAGAACAAAGGACAATCATCAACCTACCACCAAAATGGGAGGAGAGTCACCATGTCCAAGAGTCTGGCTGGAGGCAGCCTGTTTCATTTTGGACAGCTCTCATTGGTAGGAAGTTTTCCTTACAGATGGCTGAGATTTGCCTGTCTGCATCTTCCATCCATAGATCTGCTCCTAATTCTGCCCTCCAGAGCAAGCACAAGTAGAATCTTTCTTCTTCAAGGCCAGACTTTAAGTATTTAAACACAGATGACATGCTCCCCTTAAATCTTTCTTTCTCTAAGCTAAACATCCAAGTTCCCTCAGCCTAAAGACAGAGCCAGTGTGTAATCTAGCCTCAGTCATGTGACCCAAGTGGGCAAATCACTTAACCCTTCTTTCCACCTCACTTGTCAAATGAGGGTAAGAATAGCACCTGTCTCCTAGGTTAATATTTTTGAAGCATTTTTGTGGCTGTTATTGTTTGGTCATGTCCACCTCTTTGTGACCATAGCGTGTCAGTGCTGTTTTGTTTTGCTTTTTGGGCAAAGATACTGGAGTGGTTTGCCCTTTTCTTCTCCGGCAGATTAAAGCAAACAGAGGTTAAGTGCCTTGTCCAAGGTCAAACCACTAACAAGCATCTGAGGCTAGATTTGAACTCCAGGCCCAGCCTGACTCCAGGCCCAGTGCACTATCCACTAAGCCACTTAGCTGCTATAAAGTACTTTAAAAACCTTAAAATCTTATATAAAGACTAGCTATTCTTACCCACTCAGTTTTCATATGGCATCATCTAAAGGCCCTTGAATATGGTGCCCTCCCTTTAAATGTGCTTCAGTTTACCATTGCCCTACCTAAAATTCAGCCTCCAGAATTGTTGTAGCTGTTGTTGCTTGTCCTTTGCTATCCAAAAGGACCCATGACAAGTGACCCTGATCACTTGATATGCAGGTGAGTTGGATTTAAGTGAGGGAGGGCTGTGCAAAGTCATCAGATGAAGTCTGACCAAGGTGGGCTACAGCAGAACTATCAACTCCTTAATCCGGGACACAATTTCTCTTTTAATACGATCTAAGTTGGTATTAGCTTTCAGGGGGACCCTATCACATTGTTGAGTAAGGCTGTATCCACTCAAGCACTGGTCTCCAAAGTAAGGGTCAGGGAGGCCTGTGGCATGATCCCAAGGGGACAGTATGATCTCAGGTGTATGGGTGGGAGGCTAGCTCAAATCTCATACTCACTGCAATAACCATCTGTAGAGCCTGTCTTCTACACAGAACAACTACCCTTCACCCATCATCCCCCAGCATTCCCACAACCCTTCCTCACACCGCTGGGCAAGCTCCCAACTTCCCCATTTCTGCCTTGCTACCTAGGCACCAAGCAGAGCTGGTGGTATTTTTCCTTGATGACAAGTTGACAAGTCAGCTATTGATATCTGGTTTTTTTTTTGATCACATTCTGAGATTATGTTAGACTATTAAGAAGCAATATGTTACAATGGAAAGAGTCTTGAAGTTGGACTCAGAAGCCCTGGGTTTAAGTCCTGGCTTAACCACTTACTATTACTGCTGCTGCTGTTGCTGCTGCTGCTGCTGCCACTCCTACTCCTACTTGACATTTACAAAATAATACTGGGAAGAACAGATTTAGAGCTGGCTGACTCCAACCTCCTCATCTTACCAAGGAGGAAACTGAGGCCCAGAGAGATTAAGTGATTTGCCTATCCATGGTCATGTAACTAACACATACTAGAGTTGAGATTTGAACTGAGTCCTTCCTAGTTCAGCATATCTCATCACCACCAACAGCACCATTATTTCTGCCTTGGCAAAACTCAGTTCTTGGAGCCCAGGATTTGGAGTCAGGAAAGCCTGAGTTTGAATCCTGCCTCAGACATTTATGTAGCAGTGTGACCTTAGGCAAGTCACTTAATCCTCTCTGTGACTCAGTTTCTTCAACAAAATGGGGATAATAATGGCACCTTTCTCACAGGGTTGTTGGGCAGATGAGTGAGTTCACATATATAAAGCACTTTGCAAACTTTAAGATGCTCTATAACTGCTATTTATTATCATTATCATTTCATTTGAGCCTCACAACAACCTTAGGAGGTGGGTTCTACAGGTATCATTATCCCCACGTCATAAACAAGTAAACTGAGCCTTCAAGAAGTCACATGACCTGCCCATAGTTACAGTAAATGGTTCAAGTTGGAGGTGGGATGTGTCCCTAGATCTTTCTTTCCTAACCCCAATTCTTGTTCCCTTAGATTTTATAGAATTGCAGTTTCTTCATGTGTAAAATGCTGATATTAAGACTTGAGAGGCTTTAATGTGCTTTAGCAGACAGAGGCCCAACTTTAGAGCCAGAGTGACCCAGGTTCAGGTTTTGCCTCTTATTTATACTAGTTGTATGACCAAGAATAAGTCCCTTAAAATCTCAGCATTCCAGGCAACTCTCTAAAAATATAATTTTGAAATGAATTGCTGTCTTTGTCAGTGGAGGGCATTTCCATGCTGGGAGTCCCATATCTCCCCTCCCACTCCCATCCCCCACCCCGAGGACAAAACAAAAGTCTGAACAAAAATTTTAAAAGGATCCAAGATACCTATCCATTGTTGTGAGGCTAAAGATTGCCATAAGAATCTGAGCTATTCCCACCTCTGCTCCAAAGAGATCGATTTCATTAATTTCTCCTCTTTCTGGAGTCCTTTAGACTCCCACACCAACATTTCTTCTTTCCCATCTACCTACTTATTAATAGATTATATTGCTGAATTCCTCTTCAGTGTCCTCCAGACTTGCCCACTAAGCTGCATCCATTTTCCCCAATGAACATCTAAGTTCTTGGAAAAACTGCTGAAAATGCATATGGGATTGTGCCTGTTAATTGGGGGCTGTGGGAGGGGGGCTTTTGCTGTGACACAAAGTTTGCTGTCAGGGGAAGCTAATGGCTGAGAATGAGGTAGCCTTTGTGCTAGAAAAACCTCCCCTGATGTCCAGAGATTCACCCTGTTCTCACATGAAAGGTCCTGGTGACTGGGCCCCCCACAACCTGAAATCATCGGGAATATTAATGATTTTTTAGGTTGGCCACAGATGAATCTGACTCCCTTACCAAGCTTGTCTAAGCTGGAATCACAGGAGAGGCAAAAGAAGGAACTGCCTCAGTGCCTGTAAAATTTAATCTAACTTAAACATTTGTATCATTTCTTTAACTGAAAAATGAGATTTAGCTGAGAGGGTTTCAGGGCAAACCCATTACCATGAAGAAAATCTGTCAGAGATTTATTGGTACTGAGCAGAACTATAAACCTCTTGCACAATTGCCAGAGCCCCAGGAGTGCCGCCCAGCCACGTATTACGATATCACCCAGAATGTAAACCCAGTCTGGTGTAGGCGGTTCTGGTCAGAAAGGTGTACATGGGCAGCTGGAGGGATGACATCATTTCTAATCCTCATAACAGGTGGGTGATGCATTTTGCAGATGAGTAAACTGAGGCTCATTGGAGTTACATAACTTAGCCAAAGTATTTGTTTTTGTTTTTGTCTGGACCTGTGATTTCATCTATAGAGAGCACTGCCCATGTGGAAACACATAGTTAGGCAACCCATTGGTTTTAGAGAGTTGCCCCGGGGGAGGGGGTGCAGAACTGAGAGATTATAGTATATATGTATGTCATAGCATTTGAATTCCGATCTTCCTGACTTCAAAATGAGTCCTCTAGCCATGTGGTGCTAGTCTCAGCCAAAGTCATATAACTATTGATTGGTAGAATTGTGTCTTAAACCTATTCTAAGTCTCTTTCCACTATACTAGAGCATATCAGACCAGGGAGGAGGTAAAGGAGAGTAATATTACCTTCCTCTGGTTATTTATTTAACACATTTTAAATAATAATTATTTATCCGATCCTGTAATTTTATCGGTATAAGAAACTTCTAGTGAAGTGAGGAAATTCCCTCTAACAATTCAGATGAGTAACTGCTCTATAATTTATAGTTTCACAATCACCTGGGTCATTGAAAGGTTAGTGACTTGGTATGGGTCACACAGGCAGTATGTGTCAGTAGTGAGTAGTGGGCTCAGCTTTCCAAGGTCAGTTCCATGGTCAGCTCTCTACTACTATGCACACTGCCTTTCTCTCTTCATTTAAACTACATGCAACTCTAAATCCTACCTTCAGTTAGGAGTTACAACAAAGAAATAGGTAGATTTTTCCCTTTTCTACTTAATGAGGAAGGTTTGTTGCATTCTTATAATAGCATGCCAGACTCAGTGCTTTCTCTAGCCTAGGATAGATAAGGACTAGACCTATCAGCTCATTTGTATAGGGACTCCCAGGTGAGGAAACTCCCTTTACCAGTGCAAGTCAATACCCTCACTGCCGACTTATAGTCTTAGAGAGATACCTAGAGCCTTAGGAGGTAAAGGGACTTGTCCAAGGTCCCATAACCAGTGTATGTCAGAAGAATACTTGAACCCAGGCTTGGCTGGCTCTCTATCCACTAGAATGATTATCCCTGGTTCCCAAGGCTTAGGAGTCTGTGTTGCTGTGGGCACCAGGTGACTGCCATCTGGGCTGTGGTAATACTGCTTTCCCTCTATTGTTCATTTAATATATTTTTTAAAACTATTATTGATCCAGAACTGTGATTTTATTGGCGTAGAGAACTGCCACCTGGTCCCTACAGCAACATGGCACTCTGAGCTTTGGGAATCTGAGCCAAGGAATAAGAAGTAACTTTCCCAGTTGTTGCTTTAAAAAAAAATGCCCCAAACACTCATCTATCTCCAGCCCCATACACAGGAAGGCAGCAACTTGACGGAGCAGGGAAAAGTGCTGGACCTGGACTCAGGAGAGACCTAAGTCTGAATCCTACTTCCCAATTTACTAGTTGGGTAACCACAGGTAAGGCACATAACCCCTACGAGTCTCAGTTTCCTCATCTATAAAATCAGAATAATAATAGCACTTAACTCCCAGGGTTATTGTACCATTCAAATGAAACTTTAGAGCATGGTGTGCAAACCTTTAAGCACTGTGGAAAATGCCAGCTTTTGTGCTTCTATAGTGTTTCTATCATGCTTTACACATGGTGCTTGTGATTCTTATAACAACCCAGTGAAGTTGCTAGCACAAGTCTAATTATCCCTGTTTTACAGATGAGAAAACTGAATCTCAGAGATGCTAAGTGACTATGACCAAAGTCATAGAACTAGTACTTGGCAGAGCCAGGATATCACATATATGAGGAAGGGGCAAGCTAATCCTTTCGTGGCTGTTTCCTTTCCCACCTCCTCCTATGGAGGCATTCTTCAGACTGCACGCTGCCCTTTTGTAAACTTGCATCCTCTGCTTTCGCCCTTCAAGGCTGTCCTTCCTGTTCATTTTATTTTGTTTTTAAAGTTTTATTGACAACTCGTGTTTTTACAGGACAGGGAATCCCTTGTACCAAAGCAAAAGAAAGTTAAGCCAATGCTTAACTAGTCAATGCAATAACTTCATCTGGCAGAGTAGCCAGTATTCTATATCCATAGAGTTTCCCTCCTCTTTAATGAGATTGGGGCAATGTATTTTATCCCCCATTCCAGCCAGAATTAGTTATAGTAATTAATCAGAGTTTGGTTGCCTTTCACTGTTGTTTTCATTGAATTATTATAGTCTTCACATCTGTGTTCTCCTGGTTCTGATTCGGTTAATATAGGTCTTCCCATACGTCACTGAATTTCTCACATCAGACCTTCCTTAAGGCACTTTATAGACCATCTATTTGTAGACTATAATTTTGTTCAGCCATTACCCAACTGAAGGGTGCCCAACTTGGATCCAATTTTTTCTTGTAATTTATTTTAACTAGATTTCACTTACTGGGGGCACAAAGGAGGACCCTCCATCTTCTAGTTTGTCCTTTTTGGAATAACAGCTCTTGGGCTGCTTTCCATAGAGAGCTTCCTGGGCTTCCACTACCTTACGTACCAGCTTCTAGTAGAGCAGGTGGGAGAAGGATAAACTGCCATAGACTTTGAGCTTGAGAACTGGTTTGGCATTCATCATTCATCCATGGCGATGTTTGTTAGCTCCCAGCTGAGTTCTGGGAGCTCTTCCCAGACAAACAGCTCCAACCTCCAGCTCATTGTTTGATGCAACCCTCACAAGAGATAAGAGTCAAACCTGTTTCTCTTTTTTGCCCAGCTCCAGGGCAATGTCCCCTCCGCTTCCAGGGGCGGTAGCTGCTGAGCCTAGCAGGTTTTAGCTGGAAGGTATAAATATTCTTCTGTTTATGCCAGCATCTTCACACCCACTAGCATAATTGAACTCCAGTGATTTACAAGAGCTGTGCTTCAATGCCTTTTAATAATGGAGTCATTTCCATAGCAGCCTATCCAATAATACGAGTAGGTAGAGATGTTGATGAGAACATGATGGGGAATGAGAAAACCTTCTTGGAATGAAGTCAGTTTTATAATAAACATTTATAAAGCTTCATAGTAATGCATCCAAAATTCAGCCCCTCTGCTTCTTGGCTGGAAGACTTTTTTTTTTCATCTATAGAAGTATAGTCTTCATTCTTTAATCTACCTTTTCTTCCACAATCCTTGAGCACCTACTTGATCAATTAAACTAAATGTTTTCAGCATACAGATTTCCTGCCATTATCTGGCCTTTTACACAGCTTAGTAGAAACTATCTGGTAGGCAACTTGCACATGTCAGATAACTTCTTACATCTGCATCTAAAGCAGGATTGATTTGGATGAGAGAAAGGGAAAATGTGGACTTTTGCCTATTTTGAAGAAGAGCGAATGTATTAGATGGTGATGCATGATTTGCATAGTGTATAAATGTGCTCTAAATCTGAGCACTGTATTTCCTAGGGGTGAATGGTGTCTAATTTGTGGCTGATTTCACAGCCCCTGCGATCTTTAGAAATAATATTCAAGAGCTTACCTTCCATATGGTTATATCCAGAAGGCTTAAAATTAAAACTATACAAACTAGGTCATTGAAAGAAAACTTCTTTTCTGAACTTATAATTTAGGATTAAAAAAAAATCTTCCCTCCATGATTTTTGCTTTTTTCTCCATTGGGAAAGTATTTATGTTACATATCTCAGTACCCATGATCTCAGCTTACACTTTGGACTTTATTCAGATCATGTTAATAGCTTATAAAAGTAAGACAAGCTAGATAGACATTATTTAATTACTTTAGAGAGTTAAGATTTTTGTTACTTAGCTTAGTTAACAGAGTATAGATTTGAAAATGCACTTAAAGCAATCAAACTATGTATACCCTTTCATTCAGTAAAACCACCAGTAGGTCTGTAGCCCAAAGAGATCATAAAAATGGGGAAAGGACATATTTATACAAAACTATTTACAGCAGCTCTTTTTTGTTGTGGCAAAGAATTGGAAATTGAAGGGATGCCTATCAATTGGGGAATGTCTGAACAAGTTTTGGAATATGAATGTAATGGAATTCTATTGTGCTATAAGAAATAACAAGCAGGATGATTTCAGAAAAACCTGGAAAGATTTGTATGAACTGACGCAAAATGAAATGAACAGAACCAGGAGAACACTGTACACAGCAACAGCAATGTTGTTCAGTGATCAACTATGAATAACTTAGCTCTTCTCAGCAATACAATGATCCAAGACAATTCCGAAAGACTCATGATGGAAAATGCCTTCCACCTCCAGAGAAAGAACCTGTGGAGTCTGAATGCAGATCAAAGCATACTATTTTCACTTTCTTTATCTTTTCCATGTTTTTTTCCCTTTCGTTCTGTTTCTTATTGCACAACATGACTAATATGGAAATATGTTTTACATGATTGCACATACATAGCCTATTTAAAATTCTTAGCTTTTTAGGGAGTGAGGAGGGGAGGGAGGGAGAAAATTTGGAATTCAAAAAAAATTTAAATGAATGTTAAAAATTGTCTTTACATGTAATGGGAAAAAAATAAAATGCTATTAAAAAAAAAAAGAAAGTGCCCTTAAAATTTGAATCAAAGTTTTATATATTTGTTACATACGCAACTCAATCAAATGAGCACTTATTAAGCACTATATAGGCATATACTATACAAGATACAGGCAAGGCACTGTGTTTAGTGTGGGGAATGCAAAGACAAAACAAAAGACAAAGACAAAAAGACAATCCAGGGTACTCATTTATCTCCTTACATATGTGGCCATTGTGCTGTCAGATAAGAAAGGCGAAAAGATCAACCCTACAAGAGGATGAAAGAGGTCTTCAATTTCACCAGGAACTCTCTGATTTTGACTTGATAATGGTAAATGAAAACGCTCAGATTTCAGATTTCCTAATCTAGTTTTTAATTTCCTAATCACAGTATCAGTGACTCTCTCCTGAACTCCAATTGTGCATCTCCAACTGCCTGCTCAACATTTTGAACTCGCACGTTCCATAGACATCTCAAACTCACCATGTCTAAAACTGAACTCACCTTTTCCCACAAACCCCACACTTCTTCTGAACTTCCCTAATTCTGTCATGGGCACCCAGGTCCACAACCTTTGTGGATTCCCAATTCTTCAGTCCAAATACCCAATTAGCACCAAATCTTGCTAATTTCACCAACACAATAGTTCTCATATTTGCAATCAGAGTTTATCTCTCATTCATGAAGGAGCCTGAGATCCATGGAAAGCCTTTCTCCTTCCCTAGGTGAAAAAAAAAAACGCTAAGGAGAGAGGCTTTAGCTCTGAATTAGCTAGTTTTCTCTTGGCCAGTTTTTTTTTCTCCTTACCACTTTCCAATTTTGGATGGATAAAGTTGACCTTTTGCTTGAGAAGAGTTGGATTTTACCTATTACTTCTGCTTTATTAATCAATAAGCATTCATTAAGTACTGACTGCCAGAAACTGTGCTAATTCTGGGGATGCAATGGAAAAGCTAATGGCATTTCAGATAACAACCCTATCTGACTGCTACAGGTTCTCCTATCATACTACCATGATGAAGCCCTCCCCATGACTCTGATCAGCCAGAGGACAGCGAGAGCAGCTAAAGGGAATGAACAGGGGTGTGTTAGTAAATGTTTAACAGCTAGCTGGGGGCAGGGAGGAGAATTGTATTCATAACACATTTTTAAGTTTAATCTGCATTATTAATATTTTCTCCATCATTTTCTTGACTCTAGAAACTAACAAAAAATCTATCCCTGATTTGTATGATTTGCTGATTTCTGAGGTGTTACTGATCACACAGAAAATTTAACAATCAGATCTTGGGCTCAAGCTGACTCCAGCACAACCCTGGCCTTGAGTCCATGACATTTGAGAATAGGTTTAAAGCGTTAGGAGTTAGCCTTCAAAAGAAAATTCTCAAGAAGAAAAAAGGTAATGATCTTCAAGAACAGGAAGTGAGTTTATGGGGCATGTAGTCCTACTCCTCATTTTACAGATGAGGACACTGAATCCCGTAGAGGTCAAGTGACTTTCCCAGCATCACACAGTAAGTGGCTGAAATAAGATTCAAACCCAGGTCATCTTGACTGCAAGTCCTGTATCCTAACCATTATACCATATTCCCTCTCTGCTGTAAGGCTGTCTGGTACACTAGAAAGAGCACTAGATTTTTTTTTTTAAAGCCAGAGGTTATTATGTTGTTCAGTTGTTTCTTATTCCCTTCATGACCCCATTTGGGGTTTTCTTGGTGAAGATACCAGAGTGGTTTGCCATTTCCTTCTCCAGCTCCATTTTAGAGATGAGGAAGCTGAGACAAACAAGGTTAAGTGACTAGCCCAGGGTCACATAGCTAGTAAGTGTCTGAGACCAGATGTGAATTCAGGAAGAAGAGTCTTCCTGACTCTAGGCCTGGCACTCTATTCACTGTACCACCTAGCTGCCAGAGGACCTGAGTTCAAATCCTGGCTTT